AAAAAAAAAAAAAAAAAAGGAAAGAGAAATCTTCTTTAATCATGGTATCTTCTGCCATAAGATAGCTTCAGGACTTATTAAGGATGCAGCTAGGAACTTCTTCACTTAGTTTTCACGTTTCCAAGGCTCTTCTTCAACAACATTGAAGTCTGCAGATTTGCCATTGGTTGCCAGTGTTACCTGCAAGTAATTATCATCAACAAGCAACTTAAAGGCCAAGGCACTTTGACAAGAAAAGTATGAGTTTTATAGAGAAGATTATGATATTTGCAGGAATTACATACACTGTCACTTATTATATAAGTAAAATGCATTTATTCAGAACTCATAACACTCCCAAATAGTGCGACTCCTGTTCATTCACTTATTATAATGACTAGAAAACATCAGTAGTAGAAAAATGTTCTGCATTTTCTTTACCTTCATTGAAGTTTGTTGTTTTTTGTTTTTTTTTAAATAAGTATGTCAGATTCTACCCCTTTCTATCTCTTGTAGATTTCTCTGGATTATTTCAAAACCAGATTTTTTCTTTTTTTTAATGTAAAAATTTGTATTTTTTCAGTGGAATTCCTTAGCAAAGCTGCCTACCAGATGCAACAACATGTAAAATATGCGAGGCCAGAATAATCATAGATGTGTATCTATACAAACTCACCTACAATTACACCACCTTTAAAGAAATGGAAGAGAAGACATGTTGTGAAAGTACTTTTCATCATACCACTATAACAATGCAGTGAAAGATTTTGAGTATAGTCCAATTAAAAATTCACAGTAGTGCTAAACTGATCTCACATGAGGTACAACAAAACCTCACTCTTTCCTGTAAAGATACATGCTGGAATTTTTAGCTTCTAAGTATGGTAGAAGACCTGTAGAGATCTACCAACTCACAGTGAACACTGGACAATATGTTCCATTCCAGAGATCAGTATAAATGAACCCGTGTTCTTTTTCCTAACTTACCTTGTAAGTTAACATCTTCAGCTTCAAATGAAAACTTAAAGACAGAGCTGAAATTCCCCATGCTGGATAAACAGGATGTATGGAAGCATTGGGACATGGAAACATGACAAAATGCACTGATTTTTGAAACAAAGTCAAGCTTTTTCTTATATAATTGGAAGGGGAAAACATGCAAATACAGCAACGAACAGCTTATTCAGAAATGAAAATCACACAGAGTCATGTGAAATATGGTAATAAAAAAAAATACAAAAGTATCATGCAATAACAACCACTCTAACCCCATACAAAGGTAAACTAATTATTAATTATGTACATTGACCATGCAAAATTATAATCTATGAGTGTTATACATGGAATATATTACAGAAAGTAAATAGAAAGGGTGTGCTAGTAGATTAGTGTTTCCATATCCTGACCAGAGCTGCAGTAAGCTTTTCAACCCACCAGCGCATTGGACAGGATGAAGAGATGGCTTTTCAAAATTAACAGCTGGCTGTTTCAAAGCCCCAGATCCCACTCTTTGTTGCCTTCGCAAGTCTAACACTTGGGAGTTGTGGACCACTTCAACATGATCCAAGTGCTCTGCAAGTGCCAGCATATATTCACAGCTCATCAGTTAGGTCACAACAACACGTCCTTTTGGCAGACAAGAGCAGTGACCTGCTCAAAGTCAGTCTTGTGCTCGATCCAGTAAAGCCTGGCTCTTTTCATGAGTTTAAAAGTGCAAACTGAGACTGTAAGCAGAGCAAACCTAAAGCAATTAAAAAGAACAAACATTTCTAGCCCATAAATCACTGGTCCCAAACTTGAATTAAAGGGTGTGCTTATGATGACATACAGCACTGCTAATCCATGGTTTTGAGGCAATCTATTGCCTCAGCAGAGGGAGATAATATGAGAAACTGAAGGAGAAAAGAAAGTGCAAGTATTGTTTGCATCAACAGGCTACTACTTTTTAACTTGACTTGGATCTCTCTGCAAATCTGAGAAACTGGGAGTAGATTAAATTATCAGTATTCAATTCCATAAACATAATCTTAAACACAGAATTGCCTATTTAACTTAAAAAGTTTTCAAAAAAATTCAAAATAAGTTATCCAAAAAGTGTCTTTCTTTCAAGAGTTTTTTTCTTCAAATTTTAATCTCTTGTGTCCTTGCCTTTTTTGAGAAACATCAATTAAAGACCATTTTCAATTTTATGTAAGCATGTATTCTCTTTCCATTTCAGATCTTAGTTTTTAAATTTTTCAAATGGAAAAAGCGTGGCCTGAAGATAAAGGGGACAGCCATGTCAGAAAAAATGTGTGATTTTTTAAAAAAATCACTTTATTGAAACCTTGGAAAATTCAGGAAAAAATTTGAAGATAAGATGAATGCTGTTTGGTTTTTTTCCTGGAATTCAGTATTACTTTTTCACCTGAGAATTCAGGTTTAGCCTGCATTCTCAAGAAGTAAGCATTAGGAAAAAAAAATCTTTCTAAAGAACATTTCCAGCTAGGCTAGACACAAGAGAAAATGACAGTATAGGATTATATTTCCAATATAAATGGAGATGTGCTAATGGACTTAGTGCAGTTCTTCACAAGCTAAATACTGGCTCAGTTGTGGCAACTGGGAGATACAAGAGAATCTGTTTGGATAAATGGCTAAGGTAAGATGATTGGCAAACCCACTGTCTCAAAAACAGTGTACAGCATCAGACTGGAGCATTAATAATTGCCAAAAAAATAAAAATACTATGAAATTAGAAGTTCCATCTTGCTTTGCTTTCTTTTCTCCTCCTTTTCAAAAGCTCTCTCTGGATTTTAAACTGCCCCATTCCAGTGGTGGGTTCTTAGTGAACTTCTAACCCGTAACCTCCTGAAACTGTCTTTGCATTCAGCTGGTGGTGTTGCTCAAGCTCACTTCACTCTGATCAAGACGTCATTATTAGTGTTAATATTGCATGTTAGTTACAGCAGGGGTTACAGAGGGAAGAGAGTGTCTGTGCCTTAGTGCCTCGGGAAGGAACGCTGACACAAGAGAAGCAGAAGCGTGCTGTGTGAGTGCAGGAGCATTCTCATGCTAAAGCGCATTCAACATGTCGACCTCTGAACAGCATATCATGAAGGCAGTCAGCAGGTGACAACACCTGCATCTCAATTGCAGCCATCCTTCATTTGGGTTGGCAATTAAGTTCTCTGTTGCCACAGAAAATTAAGTAAATGTCCATAGAAGGTGATGCCATATTCTCTGTGTCTTGGCATATTCCATAATACGCTGCATCTTGCCTTTTGATATGTAAACAAAGTACATGATTTTTTCCCATCAAATGACAAGTTTTAAGAGAGTGCAAAAAAACCATCTTTTGAACTGCTTAAACACATTCAAAATGTCTGGGGTTCATGGACCTTGCTGTCACATTGTTATTTGCAGAACGATTTGAAAAATACATGCAGGTTAAAAAATAAAATAAAGCATGCAGTGCTATATACATGTCTCAATATCCATAAATGTGAAAGGTACCTTGCACTCATCTACCATGACTGAGTTGTGAGCTGCAAAAACACATTGGTTTGAGTTGTTTTCCCTATGATTTTTCATGTCGTCATAGATTGACTGAGTCTTGGTCATTTCAATGTCTTCATGCCCTTTATGATGGGAATCAATGGTGTCGAGTTCTGCCTTGGAAAGGTGGTAGACAATGCCAGCACCAAAAGAATCCCCCACTACATTGACTGACGTTCTCATCCGGTCCCTACAAGAGAAGGGAAAGACAGAGGCTGAATGGCATGACAGGAAGAAAAAGTAAGGCATGGCAGCCCTGTTTATGGTACAATTACTGCATTTGTTTCACGAAGCTTAAGGTATCTTTTGAACAGAGAGATGGGAGCTTTCAAGGGAAATGGGAGAAGCTTGCTTTCCCCCAAGGGACTTATTCAGACATGGAGGATGTTCCAACTCCCATGTCCCAGCCGCTTATTCTCATGGGGTTTGGCAAAGAATGTATGTTAGATCCCAGCCAAACTGCAGAGCTGTGTTAACTGAGACCCCCCAGTGCCTGATTCTGGAGCTGGGGGTTTCAATATCAGGGTGCCAGGCTCACACCCCTGCCCTTTGTTTCATATGAATTTATCAGAGCATTGAACTTAATGCAGCCAGAGAAAAGGATTTTGGTTCTGATGAGCTTTTTCTCATTCCTGGTTTGAATTAACAAACAGCCTCTCCCTCTACTCTTAGTGAGCAAACGATGGGGAACAAAAATGCCTGAAATATCTCCATAATGCTTAGGCTATTGAAGCTCCTCTCTTGGCACCATCTTTACAGATGGCCATCTGTTGGTGTGGCAGCATGCCCACTCACACTATGTGTGCCAGAGCTTGGCATATGAGCAACCCAAATATAGGTCATGGCCTACAAAATTATGAGCCTGTGACAGCATTTCACTAACGAGTGCCCCTTGTTGTAGGAGGGTGCCAACAGAGACTAACATGCTTCATTACAAAGAAATATGTTTGTTGGCATTTTCTGGACAGGATGCCACTAAACAGACGTGCCATCTTTCTCCTGTCTTGTCTTTAGTGCGGTTCTATCTGTCAACAGTGAATCACAGTTGTGGATTTCCCCTGACCTCAGAATTGTGCCCCAAACCTGACCAAAATTCTGCAAAAATGGGAGCTGGATACTGCTATCTTTCCTGCTGCAGCACGCATGTTAAAATCATTTACAATCTCATTTGCCTCTTCATATCTGCACTGAACATAAAACTCCAAAAAACCTTCTGACCAAGGCTTGCAAATTAGACCAAATGAAAGCAACCGAGTCTAGCTCTGCCAAATAGGTCAAAGAAGTGATTACACTGATTAATTCTCAGAAGTATATTCATGAAGATTCATTTACACAAAATGGCCAGGTTGAACAGTGAGGACACTTGCCAAGTGACAAAAGCTAGCATGTAAGACCTCATTTCCCAAGACAGTGATTAATTTCAAAACAACGTTTCTAGTATTTCTAGTACTAGATTTGTGTTACAGCTCCTTTTTCTGTAGAACACTGAGAAAAAAAGTTCTAAATATATAAAACCTCAACTGATAAACATTCATTATTCATGTTTACTTATGATCGTATAAACTTTTGAGCTGATTTTAACATCTTTGCTCTACACATCAGTAAATCTGACTTTCTTGACTGTGGAATTATAGTCCCATTCAAGTTTCTCCTCTCCCTCTCAACATTATCATGCTTACATATTTACAGACTTTGTGGTGTAATATCTTTGCTGAAGCAGTTAATTTTCTTTCTTTTTTTTTTTGGTTTCAAAAGAATACCTAGAAGGGAAAAAACCTCAACAGTAATTTCCCCGAGAAAGAAACCAACAGTCTATAGGAGGAAAATGTCCTTCCAGTTAATTTGCTTCACACAAATTAAACGCTTTATACAGTTCTCATCCAATGCCTGTGAAGACTATTTTAAACCTGGTCAGAGTGGTAGAATAGGAAAATAAGACTTTCTGGTGGGATTTTTAATTAAGACCATTAAATACACTGAACCTAGCAATACAACTCTACAAAAAGAACACCTACTTAATTTTTTTGCATGAGTGGTATTAAATTTTGAAGGGATTCACTGATGCCACATGACAGAGGGATAGTATAGGATGCCAAAGAAACAAAGTGGAGAGAATATATAAATATAATTGTGGCAGAATTCAAATTCTGAAAGGGTCATTTGAGGAGATGCTCCAGCTCCTGCACACATACCACTAGCTGAGAGATTCAGCAATACAAACTGCACACTGATGCACAATGCGTTACACTGAGCGATCCGAAGGAAACCAGGAAGGTTCTTACAACAGAAACAGCAAAGTCTCAGCTGTCAGGAATCAACAGCAAAGTGCCACTGACCTCTTTTGGGGCAAAGAATACCCTATGAAGAACAAAGACAATTGTACTTACTCTTTCGTTAAAACTAACCAACCAATTAATTCCAGGCAAGCGGGATGACGTAAACAAAACAAATAAAGGAAAGCTGCAGTCTAGACCCTGTTCATAACACCCAGACTTCAAGTGGGTCTGAATATTCTGACTCTGACCTAAGCCTTGGCTTAGATCTAGATTCAGAATATTCATACCCAGAGTCAGAACTGAAGTAATCTTTTTCTGAGTTACTGAATGAAAGTTTAAGTACCAGATCAGCTGCTCAAGCTTGTTTTCCCTAATTCCTCTCTCTTTGCTGCAAAATACCACTAATCTGGTACCACTGATATTTGCTAAGCTTGTCAGCTCACATCTGGAGAGTAAGTACCCAGTTTCTGGCTCAGACAAAATAAGCTCATTTTATTCCATCTGTTGGCATATAATTACTGTCCTAAAAATGCCACTGCTGTGCTGTGCTTGGTTTTAAACTGTAGGAGAGACTGTAAGAGTTGTGAAATCCTGGGAAACTTGCCTGGTTGAAAGAACTTACACTGGGTATGTATGCACAGGAGGTAGAAAAATTGAACAACCCAACACATATTGGAGAGGCTAGAGAAAAAATCTATATAGAAACCATTAAGCTCCAGTTTGAAGGAGAGACTGCGAAGTTTAAGGATTTGACATAAAGTGATCTTTGTGTTACACAATGACTAAATCATGTAAAACTGGTTTTGGTACGACCACAATTTCAGGTGGTGGTAGTACTGTAAAATCAGCTGATGTTCTGATATTTGCATCTATCAAAAATAATGAAAAACTCATAGAGTAGAGTATTTTTTAAAATCTTTTTAATCTGAAGTTGAAATGTTATTGAAGGGCTGTTCCAAGTATTTCTACATGGCTGGTTGCATTTACTCATGTGTTCCAGAAAAGCGGCTGGAATTGGGTCTTAAATACTTTAACCTTCTCTTCTACATTCTGTTAGAAATACTGCTGTAACATTATTTAATGTTTGTAGGTAAATAAAATGTGTTTTTATGACATTTCATTTCAGATATTCTTTAGGTTTGGTTTGTGCATGCAAAAGCTCGCTCAGAAGTTGGCCTGCATGCCCTTTTTTAACATAGCAATATCAGCAGCATCATTCCTCATAGTTCATTAGATCTTTATGGGTACCACAACACAGCCACTGGAAGATGGAAAATGAAGCTATTAGATGTTGAAAATAGATTAGTAAGTACAGCACTTTCACCAACAAACAGTATCTTGACTTTGCAGCACCAGTGGCATGACATAGAGCTTTTCACCTCTTCTTTTATCTCTTTTACCTTTCAGCTCTGAATCATGCTGCACTGGCACTGCTGATCAGTAGGCCATGAGGATCCAAACCCAACCGTTTGGGCTGAAAGTTCTCTTGCCTTCCATTTATTTTGGAAAGACATATTGAAGTATTTCTTTCAGAATTCCTATCCTTCCTCTTCCTACATTCATCATGGCTACAGCTCCACAGTATGGAAGGTTTTTTTTCTTAAGAAAGGTTGGATTAGCCAGTGGGATTTGCTGAAATGCAACACCCACTAGTGGATCAGAACTGCTGATAAACTTACAGCTCTGAGGCTTGCTAGTGTAGGCAGTGCTTCTCAGTCCACAGGAATATTTTAAAAATACATTTCCCTAAAAAAACCAAATAAACCACAGGCTCCTTTTGCACATCCTCCTACCAGCTGCAGAAACCTACCTATTTGCCTTACTTGGAGAGCCAAGAAAAACAGATGTTTAAAATATATTTTTATATATTTTTTCTCTCCTTCTTCCAGCTGCAGATTCCTATACCACTTTCCTGTTTTCAGCTATGACATCATAAATATAATAAACTCACTGAATATCATATCCTTCCCTATGCCTTCTGTACCTTCTCATTTCACCATTCTGTATCATGATATCATGAAATTCAATCATATATAAATCACATAAGTAAAGTTTTCCCTTTGCCTCCTCAAGCTCTAAATTCCCCTTTCTTTTTTCCCTGAAGCAGAAATCAGAGCTGCATGTTATCCTTCAAAATTCTTAGTGACAGATAGACCATGCCAGTAGACCCAAAATACATGTTAGAGGATTAAGTTCTTAAAATTAAACTTCTATTTTATCTGCACATGTTCATTCCCAACTCTGCTATTTCTTCTTGCATAATTTTAATTGTGTTTCTGGAACTGAAAGCTACCAGAAGCAGGCAGCTGAGGCTGCTAGTGTAGGAGAAAACACACAAATAGAACAGTTATATTTATGTCTCCCTTTCTGGGCACCACAACTGGGACAACAAAAACAAATGTCTTTACTACTTAAAAGAAAATTAGGGGAGAGCTGGCTGTTGACCAGAATATACCAGAATATACTGTGCTGCAGCAGTACAGGACAATACAAAAGTGTCTCCAGAGGCCAGTACAACTTAAGGGCTACTGAGCCTCTTCCAGCTCTGCACAGATGACAGAAGGATATCCCAGCTGTCAAATGAACAAGAAGAGCAAGAGAAAGGATGTGGCCTGGCATACCCTCTCTCTGTATTTTCAGATTCTGTATTCAAGTGTTGAAGACCTCAGTAACCTCAGAAAACAATATGTGTGTTAGCTGTTTCTGGCTGGAGGACCTGCAATGGCACTGGAGGACTTTGATCACAAGTTCTTGGAAATTAAAGCCATTCTTTCTAGTTTGAATGATCTGTCAGTAAAATGAAATGAGGGAATTACCTTCTTTATTTCAGTTTTCATTATTACTTGTCTTTGTTCTTTGTCCTGCCCTGGAACAGGCTCTTTTTAAAGGTATTTTATTTGCTTATATACAATAAGAAACCAACTTTCCTCCCTACAAGTATAAAACATTTGATACTACAAATTCCCAAATCACTCTATAACTTGCTGGCAATATCCTGATGGAACTTGCATTTTCAGCGTTCATCCTTCGTTTTAGACCAGAACTATAATAAACGGAAATATGAAAGCAACGATTAGAAAACTGCTCTTGAGTGACAGAAAGGCATCCTTAGGAAGAAGACAATATAAAAGTGTCAGCTCACAAGTGTGCCATGAAGACCCTTGGCTCACAGAAACTGATTTCAGGAGCTCTGTAACAGTTTTTAACAGCTGAGAAGCTGCTTTCAGTGTCTCCTGCTTCACTGAATATCCCATTTTCTCCTTGGATTTATCTGTAGAGGAGAGACTCAGAGTTCTTTAAGACCAATGACTGTAATGCATTGTGGACAAACATTACTTCACTACCTTTTCTGCACCAAGCAGGGGAGTCAGCACAACTTACAAAAGCCAGTCAACAGCAACAAGCAAACTGATGTCCTGGGTAGGGAGACCCACTGCAGTCAGGATCAGCAGCATAGTGACAAGTCCCGCGCTGGGAATGCTGGCAGCTCCAACGCTTGCAAGGGTGGCAGTCAAACTGCAAAAACAAAAATCAAATGGAAGTAGCAGGAAGAGAACACACACTTCACTTGCATACTTGTGTGACCATTAGGAAGGTCATATTTTGAATGTGTTCTTCCCATTAAACACAACTATACGATTAACCAGGGTAAGTTCAAGTCATATTTTTCACTCTTGTGTTTCTCTAAAAATATTTATTAGGGGAGGCCAAATCTATGGGGTTTGTTCCAAGAATTGGAAGAGGGTTGTCTGTAAGCTAGTTATGACATTCAAATCCGTGTTGTGGTGTTTTCTAAACTCAACAAACTTATTCAAGGTTTTGAATCCAGAGTTTTGACCATCCAGACATGCCGGTCTGGTGACTACAAGTTGAATTTTCAGGGTGATTAATTTCTGTTTATTTGTATTACCTGAAGACTGAATTGTCTTCAAGTAACTAAAGGCTGAGGGAAAACAGTTATTATTAAATAAACAAGAACATAAGTCTGGTATCCAAAGCTCCCAAAATACAAGCCAGTGGTGTATCAAGCCTGGACACAAATAACCCTAGATGATAAAGCAAAATTGATCTGATTGTTTCATAAATCCAAAACTGTGCTTGTTTTTACCTCTTACATTTTGATGAAGATCAATGGAGTGAAAGTCTGAGCTTCAAATGTTTGTAAAAATATAACACAGACCATAACAAATAGTTTGTAAAAATATAACACAGACCATAACAAATAACATCATTGGGCATTCCCATAAAGAATGACAAAATTAATAAATTTGTAAGAGCGAAAGTCAAGGGGAGAAAAACAGGGAAGAGAAGGAGAGGGAGAAGCAGAGGGAGAGGAGGAGGGTGAATAAAAAGGAAACCAGGTGAGAGGGACCAATTTGATTTTTATTTATGCCTCAACATATGCTATACAGGAGGTGAAAAACTACTATAGGGGCTGTACACATGCTGAAAGCCCTAGCACATGCCAGGTGTTAGGGAGGCAGGAAATGGAGGGAGGCTCTGTCTCTAGGGGGATTTCATCTGGATGCCAGTCAGGGAAGAGAAAAGTTCCACAATTGGGCTGCCCAGGAAATTGGGCTGTGGGTGGAGCCTTAGCACACAAAAACAGTGAACTGCACCACAGCAGGTGCCAGTTCCTTAGGGTTTCTTGGAGGGACCAGGGGCTCACCCACCACTTGTACCCAACAAATCTGAAAGTGCTTCCAATACAGAAGTAGGGGAGAACAGACTGCAGAAAATACTTTCCCATTAGCCCCAGAACTCATCTGTGAGGATGTTAGTCTGATTTAGAGCTGCCAGATGCTGTCTGGTTGGGTCTGACCCAGGCTGCAGCATGTTTGTCAGGTGTCTGGGTTAGAGCACAACCTGGCTTACTAAACACCCAGATATGTCCAGCAGGTGTGCAGGCAGGATGCTCTGCTCTGCTGTCAGGCTTTGCACATGATGCCAGATCCTCAGGCACTTCCAGCCTAAACTGGTAAGGGATTCCTTCCAAACTCTGTGAGGAAATGCTCCTGTCTGCCTTCCCACAGCAGTGCTTTCAGACCTGGAGGGGAATGAAGCTAGCACTATTCAGAACTAAACAGAACCTGTCTTAACTACCAAGATCATCTCAAGAGATAGTTCTTGTCATATTGCTGTAGCAAAAATGCATGAAGAGGAAAACCAGTGGTTTAACAAATCGACCAAAGTTGCTCCCTGCTTTGTAAATGTCAATCACAAAGCTGCATACACCAGCCTTGAAACGGTGAGATCAGGAAGAGACAACTAGTCAATCCCTCAGAGGAAGAGGAGTAACTCAGGTTCAAGCCTACCAAATCTAGACAACAGCAGATTCCTGATTTGAATTTCCCTGGTCTCAATCAAAAAAAGTTTAATATGTGGCATCTCTGAAACTACTATTTTCAGTTTTAGGAACAAATATGGATCATGCAGGTCTAGCATCTGCCTTCATTAGAATAGCAGCCCTGAAAACCTTTTACAAACTTGGCTTTACTATTTCAGGAGTCAGGGCAGGAAGTAAACTAACAGAAAATGTAGAACTAGTATAGCAGGGTAAGAAACATAGAATTAGACGTCCCTTTGCAGGAGTTTCTTTAGTGTTAAAAAGGTTTAATAAAAGAAAACTGTGTGGGTGAAAACGGCAGGAAGAAGACAAACTTGGCAGCCTTCATTTGTGGTTTCCATTTCAACTATTCAAAATGTTAGACCTGCTGTCTTCAAGTTAAAACTCCCTTACAGTAAACAGTCTTCAATCACTCTTATCCTTTTTTAATGGGTACTTTCTTTTGTCCATACAGATGCTCAGCTTTCTTCTGTATAAGACAATTGGATATGAAAAGACTACAGTTAATATTTGCTGGGTTAGAGATAAAAGGTCTGGGAGTATCCAGACCATGCCACAGACAATCTCACTCTCAGAATGGAGTATTCTCAGTTCATTATTTTTTCACATAGAAAGATTTTTTAGGTATACTTTTTTCTTTTAGTGTATATAAACAGACATATTCTAGAAAGTTAATGGCCCCTGTATGAGTTGCAGCATTCCCCTGAACTGGAAAAAAAAAAAAGAAAAAAAAAAAAGAAGCATTTCATTGGACAGATAATGCTTTATATTACAATTGACACTGTTTTGTGTGCTGGTTTGGGCTGGAGTAGAGTTAATTTCCTTCACAGGGGCTGGCATGGGGCTGTGTTTTGGATTTGTGCTGAACAGAGGGTTGATAACACAGAGATGTTTCTGCTATTGCTGAGCAGGGCTCACCCAGAGCCAAGGCCTTTTCTGCTTCTTGTACAGCCACAGTGGTGAGGGAGCTGGGGGTGCACGGGAGGAGACACAGCCAGGACAGGTGAGCCCTGCTGACAAAAGGGATATTCCAGACCACATGGTATGTCATCAGTGCATAAGGTGGGAGGAAGAAGGAGAAAAGGAGAGTTTGGAAGGATGTCCTCTGTCTTCCCAAGTGCCTGTCACATGTGGTGGAGCCCTGCTCTCCTGGGGGTGGCTGAGCACCTGCTCACCCTTGGGAGGCAGTGAATTAACTCCTTGGTTTGCTTTGCTTGTGTGCACTGCTTCTGCTTTCCCTATTGAACTATTGTTATCTCAGCCCATGAGTTGTCTTTTGCTCTGTGATTCACTCCCTGATCCTGCTGGTGAGGGAGTGAGTGGGTGGCTGTGTGGGGTTTGGTATCTGCCCAGGGCTAAACCATGACAATTGTCAGCTGCAGAAGTATGAAACACCACCAGCGTGCCCTAAGGCTGAAAATGATAGCAAACACATCTCCAGAGAACCGGGACCTATATATGAAACATTCATTTGTGCATCATTATTAGAAATCCACGGATTTCATACTGAATCCAACTGAGACGAGTCAGCTGTTGAGAAGACATCCAACCCAAAGCATTCACATTTTACAGTCTGTAAAAACAGACTCTAAAAAAACTCTTTTGAACTGACCTCACAGTAACTATCTGGCCTCCATCCAGGTCAATTCCATTCATCTGTGCTATGAAGATGGCAGCCACAGCTTCATAAAGGGCAGTTCCATCCATGTTAATAGTTGCTCCAACAGGAAGAACAAACCTTGTTACACGCTTATCAATGCCCAGATTTTCTTCAAGGCACCGGAATGTGACGGGTAATGTTCCAGCACTAGAAAGCAAAAACACATAAAGAAGACATAGTTCAACTCAGTATAACACATACACATAAGGGAGCAAAAATCACAAATTCTAATAACATTGTTTACATTTTCTACTTCCACTTTCTGCTGTGATTTAAGCCTTTTTTAGACAATTTTTAAATTAGGCCTATATTTAGCTAGAAGTGGGACTGAGGCCAAGACATGAACATTACTTGAGGTAGAATGAGAGCTTGAGAGTGCCTGGATGAATTTTTCAGACTCATTGCTGAGGCTTTGCACCAAGGCATTGTATGTGATGCAACAGACCAGAGTCTACTGCAAGAGACTGTCAAACTGCCTCCCACCCTGGGAGAAGAACCTGGGCATTCCCACCTGGCTTGAATGTACAGTAATCCATTGGATTCTATGCTTTTTGGTGGACCCTCACCACCAAGACCTGATGGACAGCATCAATGGGATGCTTGTGGGATCCACAGAGTTCCACATTTTCTTTAATCTGTCACTCTGTTTCTGTCTCCCCACCTCTTTTATATTTATCTCTCTTCCTTCCCTTCTCTCTCTCTCTCATATTTACAGTTTAATAAAATCCATACTATCAACTTTGGCATACAGTCTCGAGTGCCCCTTAATTTGGGCAGAGGCATTTCTAACCATGTTAAGAACCAGACCATAACACTGATATACAGACCTCTGAGTGTGACACACAGACCTCTGACTGTAAGGACAAATTTTAAATTTCTTTGACTGTGAATTCACTCTAAATGGAGAAATTGGTATGGCGTTAAAGACTGAAAAAGCCAGGCAAAAAAAATACAACCCATGTTGCTCTCCGACACTAGAGGACAGGAAGAAAGGATGTGAAACACAGTAGGAGGATAGGAAAAGATGCAAAAGATGGCTGGAAGATAAAAGCTCTTTGCACAGACACACAGTGCCTTGCTTTTGTGAGAGTATTTCAGGTCATTATATTCACTTGCTCAAAATAAAATACCTCCATCCAAAAATACTGCTGAAGTGGAAACTCCAACACTTCAATGAAAGCCTTAGGTAAATTGTCATTTATGAAAACTCTTGGCCAGACCAGATCTCCTATAATCCAACTCTGTTTACCACAGAGCCACAGAATTACTGAGGCTGGAATGTATCTCTGGAGGTCACCCATCCCAACCACCTTGCTCAAGGCATGAGCAGCTAGGGCAGGTTTCCCATGTTTCCCAGGACTGTGTCAGACAGGTTTAGTGGATCTCCAGAGATGGAGACTCCATAACTCCTCTGGGTAACCCATGCCAGTGTTCATGCACTGTTGCAGTAAATCACAGCAAAATGAGTTTCCTTCTGTTCAGATGGTATTTCCTGAGCTTCAGTTTATGCCCACTCCCTCTCTTCCTGTCACTGGGCACCAATGAAAATCGGCATCACTTCATCTTCTCGGCATGTCCCATCAGATATTTCTGCACATCAGAAAGGTCCCCCAGAGACTCCTGTTCATCAAGGGAGAAGATGTTCAGCAGAGTGGCTTGGGTTGACCCAAAGAGACAGCTGAATTACAGTTCTTTCAAGGCATTCTTCAAATCAAGAATGCTCAGTTTTCTGGAGGTCCATTTTGAACTAGGGTCTTTTGTTTTCACCTTTTTAATTAAACTGGAAGATTAAATTTTCTTCAGAAATAAAACATTTATTGAAAGAAAACACTTTAAAATATGGTATTTAACTGAAAAACATTTTCAACTCAAGATCTACTGACTGCCTCATTGCAAAACACCAATTTTTGATTTTTTTAGAATTAATTACTGAGAGCTGTGTTACTTACAGACTTTTCTATATCTGTTCTGTGCATTAAAAAGTCTAAAATGCTCAGTTTTTCACTGAAGTCCAGAAGTTATTTTGCCAAAATTGATTAAAATACAAACAGAGAGGGTTTTTTTTCCTTTTCTTTTGTAATGTTTGTTTGTTTTTTCTTTCTTAAATGCAATGAGACTGGTCTTAACATGCTCTCCAAATAAATAAAATTACTGCGTTTTCCTAGTTGAGAAAATGAGCACAGAATTAACAAAATTTGCACAAGTATTAGGCAAATGGTAGAAAACAGAAAGTAGGTCTTCAGATGTCTGCAGGTGGCTATACAGCCTCTCTAGAGAATCCTGAAGGCAACTGGTATTTTGATTTATTTAAACACAGCTGTATTAAAAATAGTTTTCATTCAGTGGCATAAAATGAACTTGCAGTGAAGATTAGAACAACAGATGTACCATGTCTAAACAGCAGGTAATAATCTGCTAAAAAATAAAGCACACTGGTATTTCTCAGGTGTACCTGGAAGCTGTGCCTAGTGCTGTGATCCATGCCTGGAAAATCCCAGCGAGGAATGAAAATGGGCTTTTCCTTGTTATCACAAAGTAGAGCAGAGGCAGGAAGATCCCTCCATGGATGACAAGACCCACAATCACAGTGACCATGTACATGCCAAGTTGTCTAGCAACTACTTCTAAGTCCTTGATTGCAATGATTTTTCCACAGATGAGGCAAGCAATACCCAACGGGGAATACCTGGAGAAAGAAAACAATCATAGACAGAATTTGTCTTGGCAGTGCAGTCACAGAAACTGTGCTGAACAAAACACAGACTGGAGAAGAGTGGGGAGCTCTCAGGCTCAAAACTGAGGTGCACGTCAAGAACTGATGGAAATTCAAGGGATAGTTTTCACGTCTGTTATAAAAATAATGGGCAAACTCCCCATCTACTTCATTTTCCATCCTGTCAAACGGAATAGGCCTTTCCTGAATAGTTTTCAATCCTAAAATAACACTGTATGGTGATGTTACACAGTCTTGTATCATTATAAAGAATGGTACAGGTTTGTTCTTAAAACGTAATTTTTACAACCCACTGTTTATCTGGTTTCAGGGGGTTGCATTATTTACTTCAGTTAAAGTATTTGTTGAAATGAACTGTTTGAATATTGAAGGCTAAAAATGTTTCCACTGTGTTCTTTCACCAATTCAGACAAATGCTTTTTAATTTATGGATTCTTCATTATTCATGTGCTTTTTTTACTTAGGGTAGGGTTTTCGTCTCCTCAATCATTAAAACAATACAAAAGAAACTGACTTTGAGAATAAAAGTGCTTCCTGGTTTTTGTTAAAATATCTCGTGTTTTCTCAAGCAATGTGCCCAAGGTCTGGAAAGCCTTCAATCACTTCAAATGCAAGCCCAGCTCTTACACCAGTTATCATAAAATCCACGTTTCAATGAACTTGACAAAATGCAGCTCTTATAGAGAGCTACATGGTGTCAGAGCCAGATGTCTGTTTTGCTTTATGCTTGTGTAGCCATGCTCCTGAGAGTCTGTAGGTGCCATGGGAGTTACAGATGTCTGTGTTGAGAAATCATAAACCAAATAAAACCTAACTCTGCATAAGGAAGTGCATTTTTCTTTATAAACACACACTAAAACCCCCATGCTTCTGGCCTCAACAGATCTTTAAAAATTCTAAACAGAGGTGAACTAAAGGAATTCCCAACATCAATTTCCCTTTTTCATAAGAGAAATAAAAAGCACATCAATAAAAATAAATATTTACAGGGAATTTCTTGAAACTTGAAAGATTTTCTGCTGTTGCAACATTGACTACTAGAGAGCATTTATATTGTAGGCAGGGTATTATGTCTTGGGTCTAGAAAATGGTGCTAAGTAAGAGTAAATTCTAGCCCCTGGAGGGTTATGAGAGTATAGTTACCATCTCTCTATCGAGTGGAGATTGAGCAAATATTGAAAGTTTTGTGAACAAAAACAATTTTGGTTTTATGCAGATCATCTTTGTAAGATCATCTACAGAAAAGCAGGAGCAAATCTGGAATGCAAGGTCATTGCTTCAAATTCTTTCTGTTATTCTGCACATTTCCACACTGCTGTTACTGTCTGCATCACTCCTGCCTAACAGTGTCCCACTGAAACACTGATGGTGCTGATGACTCGTGCTTCAGGCACCCTGCAACTCAAGAAATTACTCCCAGGGACACCGTGGGATGCCAGGCAGCAATGAGCCACCATAGGTGTGTGATGTTGGAGTGGCAATTTCTGCTCTCAAAGACCCAGGGAACACAGCAGTACAATGCCAAATATAGCAATGAGTTCTGGCAAACTGGCTTTATGTGAGGTGGCCACACTTGGCATACAAATAGCTCTGGGGAAGCACTCAGGAGAAACACTTAAAAAAAAAATATGAGAGAGAAAGAGTCCCCTCTCAGAAGTGTAAACAAGGGCTCAGACTTAATTGGGTAAAGTCACTCCTTAAAGGCAAATCAGGCCCCATTATAACAAACAGGTATACTTCAAAAACAGGGCACGCACCTTCCCGTGACCCCACTGCAGCGAGCTTCTAAGACACATTCTGAACAAAGGACTGCACATCACTGAAAACTACTGGAATTTTATTTGATGGTAAAGTATTTTTACTAAAGAAGGCTGTGAATAAATTGTGTCCACAGACTTTTTTTGTAATTATACCTCCTAGGTAATACCCTGGGACTATGCTAACCTCCCAGGAAGACTGGGGTGTTCTTATGTGGGACATTCTTGCTTGCTTAGGTGCTTTCCTATATAATGAACTTCCATAGCCAATGTGGCATTTGAAGGCCTCTGCTGGCACATGCATGTGTTGTATTTCAGCACACAAAGAACAGAATCTCTTCAGAAATGTTTCAAACTGGGTCCTAAATAATCCTCACCAAATAGAAATAATGCTGCTGTGGTTCTAATATACCTGTCAGGGCTTTAGAAAGTCAACTATTTAATTTCACTGTTTACTAACAAACTGGCATCACTATATTAAGGTTTTATAAGGGCTTTTTAAAAAATACTTTTTTGTTCTGTGAGTTGGAACTACAAACTTACCACATGATCATGGTTACTAACTTCATTACAATCTCATTCAGGATGTTGAAGAAATCCACCATCATCTTGGCCTGTTCTCCCATTTTCCCCATAGCAATGCCAAAAGCAATAAAGAATCCTATCAAACCTATTGGGAAAAATTGCAAGACAAAAAGAAGGCTTTTAGGAAGTTTTTGCACCTAGTCACTGTCTTAACGCTACCTGCAAATCCAGATTTCACAGAAGCATAGAATCACAGTTTAGGTAAACTTGGAAGGGACCACAGTGGGTCATCTGGTCCAACCTCCCTGCACAAGCAGGGCTATCCTAGAGCACATTGCTCAGGATTTCAGACCTATAGGGTATTACACATGTCTTGGGACTTTTTAATATGTACTCATTCTCAACTACCATAATCAAATCCAGAAAATCTTTAATTCTTCGAGGTTTTACTAAATTACAATTTCACAACACAATTATGATTTTATTGGGGTTTTTCCTGTATTAATCTGATCATCAAAAAACACATATACAGTAATCTTCTCAGTTCCATTCAGCTATTAGAAACCTCATGAGCCCTGGCAAATGGGAAAGGTAAGACAGTGCTGCACTGTAACTCTGTTGTTAGAACAGTTACTAGAAACCAAGAGGAATTTTCTCAGGCTTTACAAAAGTGCCTTGACAGACTATACAGTTCTGGAGTGTAGGGAAAGGCAAAAGTAGCCCTAGAACTTTTGTAGGCCAGGAGTATTATCGTTAAATGAAGAAGGTAGAGGTGGGAGGAGAAGGTGGGTATTGCACTTAACCACAGAGCTCCCAATAAGCAGATTAACCTCACTGAAAAGGCTATCAGTGGATATAAAATCATAGCATTCGTTATGGGTAACTTTTGGCTCCTAAATGTAAATGCTAAGGTGTGAATATCTGGAGTATTGGACTATCTGTGAAAAAACAACTGATGCATCTGCCATGGATTACTTTGGAGCTGTTTCTTCAATGCTAAACTTTCAGATCCAGAAATTTTCAGCATCCAGAGTTGGATTATTAATTGATACTGACAGATGGTTTGAATCTTCAGCCAGTCTTTGAGGCTAAATTTTCAGTCATGATATGAGTCCAGTATTTAAAAAATATGTAAACTCATCTGGGAAATTCCTATGGAAAAAACTTACTGGGACACAAAAATATTCAAGATAAGGGAATATGAGCTGGCAATAGCCTGGGAAAAGACAGGCTGTCCCATATCCTCACACTGGGTTAAGCAACCAGATTTTTTTTTTTTTTTCTTCTTTTTTTTTAATCCAATTTCCTGGATACAAAGTCATTCTTTAGAACCAAGCTATCTTTGTTGAGTCAGTTGAATAGGGAAGTGAAGCATATGTTTGTGTGCTGTAGAGCGTAGAGAAATGATGAAAAGCTTTTCAAAGACCAAGTTACTTCCTGGAACTCAGAATCTGCATTAGAAAATGTTAATTGGTAGTTTTGTTCATTAATTCCAAATGAGCTGTTATGTTAGTCATGAGAGTCAGATTGGTTCCCATTTGCAGGAATTTTCCCAGCTTGTACAGCTTATCCAAACTGGATGGCAATTCCCACAACATTTTCATTTCTTCATTCAAAGTCAAACCCACACCAAACCAACCCAAAAAACTCAAGAAATTTGAGAGACATTGGTCAAAACAGCAAATTCCTCAGCTAAAGTGTGTATTTCTTTCCTGTAGGAATTTTATTCAGCCTTGTAGATCTTTTCCATGACAGAGCCTGCACAAAACAAGCCCAGCATTAAATGCAATGCATCTCTCACATCAGAACAACTGTTTCATTTTAATGCATAAGCAGAATTCCAGGAGGGAAAAAAACAGATGAGGGTAAACAGCATTGGCAATGAGCTGCTGCCTAATGCCTGGTGCAAAATGCCAACCTGCAGCTCTGAAAGTGGCTCCTCTGCCCCCACATGTGGAATGGAATGAGAGCCATGAAGGCAGGGAGGATACGGGGCTCTTGCAGAGCAGGCTGCTTCACAGAAAAACAAGACCAGCTTATAGATGCTATCATCTCCCCTACATCTAAGCAAAGCAGCCAGCCAACTCAACAGCACCTCAGGAAGGTCTGCAGACACAGCAGCCACTGTGTCAGCAAGAGCTGTTCAGCAGCTGTAAGAGACCATTTGCCCTTCAGAGGTTATGGCCTCGTGGTGAGAGAAAGCAGGGGATTAGGTACCCCACCATACTGTCCCACTTTGAGGACAACACCTATAGACAGAGAGGTGTCAGCCTCAGCCCTGTGGATGTGTTGTCACAGAGCATCTTCCAGCGTAGGTGTGAGGCTACAAATTGAGAGCTGATTTGTGACTGACTTCACCCACATGCAGAAAGCAAGGAGTTGAAGGAGGAGCGCTCCTCCCTGGGCTGACAAAACAGGGATTCTAGACATGGAAGAGAAAATAGAAGTGGTGTGGAAGCTGTTTGTTTCTCATGTGCCCCCATCACAGACTGAACACTTGCTTCAGGAAAGGGTGGGAGATAGGCAAAGTTTTCCTACCACCTCCATTTGCTGTCTTGTCCAGACAAGATGGCATGATGGCATTTGCAGCTGGTAAAGGTCAGCAGCCAGGATGAAAGGAGGAGGGAGAAGTGACTCAGAAATGTGTCAAGCCTTTCTGGGATTTTTCTTGGGTGGTGTGGTTCACACTCCACCTCTCACTTTAGGCTCTGCCTCGAGCCAAATTAGTTCAGCACACCCGAGACACCTACTGGAAACAACTTAGCTCAGATCCATCAGGGGGTGTGTGAAGCACTGGCTCTTGAAGCTCTCCCCCATACTGTTTTGCCAATATGCATTAGTATTGGCCTAGGTCAGCTTCCTCTAGGATGAAAGGGTATTTTGGGTACCTCCTACATGCTCCACTGTACTCCTCCAATTCATAACCACAAAGCTGCCAATCCAGAACAATTCGCTTGCTGCTTTCTGTGGTATCTCAGAGACCAATGGACAGGCAGTAGGTGATAACATTTGGTGATTGTCAGGAGAGACTAAACACGTACTGAAGACCAAATTAGACAACACTGACTACCTAGCCACAGCAAAAAGCTGTGACATACATATCATGTACATATTTGACAGGCAAAAAATTTTCTTACCCAGGACATTCATGCCATCCTTAAATTCAAGCCCCTTCTTAATGACCATTTGGGCTTCAGGTGGGGCTGTCTCATTCACCATAGCAATAGCAGAATCAGTGACATTAGGTGGCTCTTCAACAGGTAGTGGCACCAGCACTTTCTTGGTGACAGTTTGGATCTGAAGGCAATAAAAAGGGGGGATGAGAATGGAAATAGACTGAATGCATCCATATGGTAGATAAGGAATTAATAATATAAGGTCTTCACTTGAAATTCCATGGAACTGTATTTTTAAAGGATTGGACATGCATTCTACAGTCTCTTAACCCTTCTTCCAAAACTAAGCCTATTTTTCAACAGTTTCAGATGTTACAAAGTACTGGGGGTCTTCCTCGCGACTGCAGAGTGAGAAGTATGGTGAATGCATGTTTTTTATCACTACAATGAAACATTTTACAGACAGTAAGTCCCTTTGGCCGGGCAGTTCACAAAGGGTGCTTCCCAGTCTGTGTGTTACAGGCTGATACCATTTGTTTTGCCCCAAAAGCCAAGTGACTCTAAAGGTCAGTCATGGCAGCAACTCTGCAGTAAGGTTTGTTATTCAGGATGGTTTGTCCAGCTCAAGTCGTCCCAGTTACTTTGAATCAAAAATTCAGGACATTTCCAACACTTCTCTTACAGCTTTTGTGCTCTTGACTGCAAGACCTCAAAATGGAATATACAAGTCCCCTGAGCTCTCTAATTAAAAGATTGTGGGGGATAGATTGCAGAAAAATTACCAATGCTGCCAGATACAAATCTGACCACCTTAAAAAAAAAGAAGGCATCAGCTTACGAATGCATTTGGACCCTTCCTGGTACATGAAAGGCAGGGTAAAGGAAAAGCTGGGAAGGAGTGGTAGAAGTGAGCCTGAGGTTACAGCTAGGAAAGAAGGGAGGATGGAATGGAAAAAAGAGAGATCTGTGATTTGCTGCTTTTAGAAGGGATTTCCTCCCACTTCACACCTTGACCCTTTTCCCACCTCTTCATGGTCCTGGGACAGGCAAAATGGTATGGAAGCTGTGACTGCCTTTCCATGTTTTCCCACCTCCCCCCTATTCCCCTTGCTCCCACAAGATAGCAAGGTAACAGAAACTGAGCATTAGCTTTTCAAAGAACGTTTGCACCTCTTTCTTGTTGACATGGACATTGTAGTACTATGGATGATGATCCAGACCTGATCCATATGGTTTAAAGCCTTTTGGTTTTAAAATACCTTACATTTATCCTTCTAAAACCTGCTGCCTAAATCTGGAGAGGGGGATATAGACAGAAAACCTACACAGCTTTGCATGAGAAACTCTTCTGTTGTCCTGAAACCACCTAACATTCTTGCATGCCTACTTTTACTCAGACTTAAATTTTATCTGAGGGATGTTGTCAACAAAGTACTTTTTATGTGAGGTATTCAGAATGTAAGAACTGAGTAATGGAAATTAAACTTAAAATATTAGACACTTCACACTCACAAATTCCACTACAGTCACTCAAGTCAAAGGTCCTCAGCAGTCCTTTGCACAAGGCCACAGTGTATAAAAATGCTGTGTCTGCCATAATGCTTATGATTCTGACCACATCTGAGAGTAGAAAACCATTTAAATGTCAGTCATATTTACAGATGGTCCTATGCTTTTTCTGCTGGAATAGAAATTTTCATCATATATTTAAACTTTCTTGTGGACCATGCTAAAATTCAGGGGAGATTGAAATCTCATGACAGCCCACAGTCCAGTTTGCAGATGAACAGTTCCAAAGCTGCACATGAATCTCCTCATGGTGCTTTGCCTGGTGGCAATGGAAGGCATGGAAACCTCCCCCCACACCGTTCAGCACCATTGCTGTGCAACCTTCAGAACCACTCTTTGCAGGATTACTGCAAAACATTTCTTCCTCCTAGGGCTACCTGGAAACACTGAGTGACTATGGAGAAAGACTATAAAGGTGGGAAAGAAAATATATGCTGACACCATTGAAGCAGGTAATTTTCCTCCTAAAAAGAGAAAAGTAAAGCCTAACTCCTTACAGAGTTAAGGTCTAGCAGAAGCAAAAGTTCCATCTAGTCACACTTCACAAATGAAATGTGGCTTTGTGGCAGAGGTTTTCACTAGAAAATAGTCTGGAATCTGCTAAAGTCAAACACTGAAAAGCCAAAAAGTTATTTATTTTCTTTTTTATTTCTTTTTTTTACTAAATTTAAAAATAATTGGTGGAATTGCTGATCCATAACTAGTGAAGCAACCTGAACATTGGTATTCCACACACTGAAAAAATAATACTAACGTTTTCAACAGCCTATCTGACACAGGTAGCTTAATTATTCTTTTTTCTGCTTTTTTGCCCCTTTTCAATATATTTGACCACTTTCTACTGACATGAAATTGAATTTTCCTCTCTTCTTTCCTCCTCTCTCCTTCTCTTCTCTCCCTCAGTTCAAATGAGGGAGAGGAAGAAAAAAACAAAAGCACCCTGATTTCCCTCACTCAATTTTGCAAAAATACATTTCCCATTACATGTGATGTTTAGCCACCAACAGTTTGACCACATGACTGACATTCCTGTGATGATTTGGAAATACTGAGAATGTTCTCTCTCTAAATCCCCAAGGATTATATGTTTTTATGTCGAAGTCCATGTAAGAGGTGAAGCAATCCAAGCCCTTTTGGCAATTGAGGTCACCCTCCATTCTTCCATTTTCCCATTGCTTCTTCTCCCTTCCCCCTTTTCTCTTTACTTTTTCTTTGGCTATGACCACAGCACCAGCCATCACATAATTTCACACAGGAACACTTAAGAATAGGTTTGGCAACAAATCCTGTTAAAATTTAAAAAATAAAAATAAAAAACAGCCCCCAAAAAACCCTGTCTGTATTACTTTCAAACAATTCAGTTGGAGGGAAAAGCAGCTTACATACAAGAAATATGCTTAAGCTTATTTTACCTCTTAAAGTCAAGGTGTTTTGATTAAGCACTGGTGAAAAACAAAATTATCTCCCTACATAGCAAGCAACACATGGTGCAAGCATCCTTCCTTCCCAGCATGCTCCAAAGCTGGTGAGATGGAGCCACCTGTAGGTGGGTCAGCCCTTTGGATCTATAATCCCCACTTCACCTGGACTCTAACACAGAAATAGAGGTTATGAGAGGTTGGGTTTTGGGGTACATTTTTGACAGCGAGCTGGAATGATCATCATCCATATATTCTAAACAGGGCATTGCAGAACCATCATCTCTGTAACTAACAGACAAGTTAAAATTCAACCTGGGTGAATGACCAAGCTAGCATTCATGACCATGGATACTGTATGAAAAGCATGGAGGAAACTAAAGTTTACTTAATAACAAATCTAAAATAAACTTTAATGTTCTTTCATTTACCTGCTCAAGACTTTAGACCTGTATTCCTCTTTGCATCATTATTTCTCTGATTAACCTAAACAATGACATTAACTCTACAGACAACCCTGACAAGTAAAAGATGTAAAGAATATTACCAAGGAGCAGGACTTACCTGCTGAAAGCATGCTTGAACCAGATTTTCAGGGAACAAGTTTCGGATCAAATCCAAGAAGGCATCCAGACTAGACACTTCATCGTTCTTCTTCCCTTGACCAAGCTGTTTCTTGAGTTTTGGATTCCCTGGATGGATGGCTAAAACCAGAATCACACCCAGCACAGCAGCAATAATTGTGGTGGACATGTAGTAGACCATGGCTCTTGTCCCCAGGCGGCCACTTGCTTTAGCATCTAATCCAGACAGTCCTGCAGGTGTTTCAGACATGAGCAAATATATTGACACTCAATATCCAATTCAATAATTATAAATAAAATCCTTTTACAATTTTCAAAGTTTAATGAGTACCTATGGGTGCCTACTTTCATCCCTGTGATATTCTCCCCTCAAGACAGATTACTGACGCTTCTCCCTCTAATTCTTATGTGTGCACTGTCTACTGCTAATAATTTGAAGATAAGTATTTAAAAGTCCATCTAATTGTAGAGGAAGCATTGAAAAATAGAGAAGATCTCTACCATCTTTTGCCCTTAACTTCTGCAAACTGGTAATGGTCTGGCTGACACTACACCTTCAAGAAGTCCAGGGTCACTAGTGTCATGCCATTGTATTTGCAAGGTCCAATTTCTGATGGTAGCGTGTGTGCATGTGTTTGGAAATAAATTCACTGGAGCACATACATAATAAAACCGACCAAGTTATTCAGAAATTTACTCTGAAATACCCCCTGCAACTGCAAAATGCTGACAGGATGACACCATTATTCTTCCTACATCACAAAAAGCAAACCAGGTGATATCTGCAGAAAGCATCCTAAAGTATTTATGGCTAATGTATCATACCTGTGATTAAACTGGAGATAATTAAAGGGAGGATCAGCATTTTTAGCATCCGCATAAGTATATCTCCTGGGAAGGCTATTAACATGATGATGTCAGGGTCAATAGGTGTTGCTAGACGAAGAAGACCCCCACACACCGCACCCAGGATAACACCTGGAAGAAGAACAAAAAAAGGAGCAGGTGGGTATCAGAAGGAACTGCCTGATGTGGAATAATGCACAGTATTTTCTTCTTTTTTGAAGAAAACTTGATTCTTAGGGCTCATGGTTTATTACCTTTTTTTTTTTTATGCTCTGCATCCTTCTCCTTGTCCTGATGTTCTCAAATCACAAACAAACTCCTCATCATTTATGTGGATAACGGGATAAAATTTAAACCTCCCGCTCAGGATTGAGGCTGTTAAAGTATAGTTTAGGGGAAAAAATGCCATGTCTACTTTCATAACATGATTTTTGTGAACAGGTATTTTATGTTTACATCCAGGATTCCTTTTTACCCCTGATCCCAAGCCCAAATGCACCTGATAGCAAAGCTTGTGTTGTGATTCACAGCCACCATGATTATGAAGTACCTCTTTGATACAATGAAAAATATATGTGTATTTAAAACTTTTTCCTTGGACAGCATTAGGTACACCTTCGAAAGGTGATCCAAGGCAAGCACTTCAGAAGTATGGGGTTTTGCAGACTGAAAATATGGAGATGGATTTGCAGATCAAGACCAGTTGCAGCTGGTTTTTCAAACAATAACAAGAGTATGTCTACAAATTTGCTGCATATGGCTGTTGGGCTTTCAGTGAAAAAGAAATAGGCAAAGAGCCAGTGAACCACAATAAAATGTCAAACTGTTCCATATTTGGAAGCTGCTAAAGCCAGAGGCAGTATTCAGGATGAGATCATGGAGCATTGGCTTACAGCTACAGAGAGGGAAGACAACCTTAAAACCAGTGAAGTGTAAACTGAGAGAAAAAAGAAAATTTTGTAGAGTTTTTGTCTTTTTCTTTTTCTTTTTTTTTTTTTTCCAAATCACTGACAGAAAAAAAGTGTAGTGCATTCAGTTCTACTGGATGACACTGACTGGCCTTGGGGTTTAAATCACACTCCTTTCCAAACCAGATACCTCAGTGGTGTGGATTTGCTCTGTGTTGTGTCAGGAATACCCTGCTCACCTGAAATACACAAGAAGTGCCCATGGGCATCCTATTCACTCGCTGGCTGCTCAGCTGGAACAGCTGAAGACCACAGGCAGAGGCTGTGGTGCCACAGGAACAAATGCAGATACACACAGAGTGTCCAGAGCAGCACATAGAGCTTACCAAACACAGTAAGAGTCAGGAGCAGATTCCTGTGGAGGGACTGGCAGAACTGCACACATAAGTTCTTGGATCTGTGCTCCACTGGATTTAAATGACTTTCATGCATCCGGACTTCTACTTGCTTAGGCATATTGTTGGCACTAGAATAAAAAGTGAAAATCAAGTAGAAGTTTTAGCACAAGATGCCAAAAGGGAAAGTCTGGATTACGTCCATCATATATAACTTGGGAATCTGACACATATTCCACCACCTCCCACATTTCATAAGCACTGCATATTTACTGCTCTGAAGAAGTCTCTGAAATGGCAATGGCGTGTCCTTCTAAAGGTGTAGCCTTCACAGTATTTTTTTGTATTTGTAGTTATTTCTCAAATGGTAAAGATACAATCAGAATTAATTAACTGGACATATCATCCCAAATGTTTCATGGGCTAAACTACTGGTATGGAGCTAAAAAACTCAGTTTCACCAAAGACCATGGCTGTTTACTAAAGTAGGAGAGACAGCTGAAGAACAAAGTTTTTATTAGCAGGAAAGTATAGATTTTAATAGCTTATTTAATTCCAACTGAGGATAATAGTTTAAAAATTATGATTTATTTGAAAAATAAAGCATTCAATAACATTTTAATTGATCTTTTGAAAACATTTAATTTCAACATTAACATTTTATTTTAATATAATCAAAATGTTGAGCTCAAGAGAATACTTTTAACTTGGTTGTAATGAGACTTGAACAATTGCCACTGAAAATTGGTCAGAAAACTATGCATTTCCCAAGAAAACCTTCGGTCTGGCAATGGCTAGAGGAAAAAGTTTTTTTACTAACTCTGGTTTATATTTGAGGAAGTGTGTAGTGGGTTGTTGCTGGCTGGATGCCAGGCACCCACCAAAGCTGCTCGTTCACTCCCTTCTGCAGCTGGAGAGGGGAGAGAAAATTAAACAAAGGGCTCATGGGCTGACATACAGACTGGGAGATATTGTTCATCAAATACCGTCACGGGAAAAATAGCCTCAGCTTGGGGATATGAGTTAAATTTATTACTAACAAAGAGCAGGATAATGAGAAGTGAATTAAGTCCTTAAGAACACCTTCCTGCCACCCCTCCCTCCTACCCCAACGATGCAAGGAGACAGGGCATGGGGGCTGTGGGCAGTTCATCACCCGAAACTTCTCCCACTGCCTGGGGAGAGGAGTCCTTCCCCTGCTTCACCATGGTGTCCCTCCCACAGGAGTCAGTTCTCTGTGAACTCCTCCAGTGTGGCTCCATCCCACGAGCAGCACTCCTGCCAAAACTGCTGCAACGTGAGTCCCTCCCACGGGCACACAGTCTTCCCAAAACTGCTGTAGCATGTGTTCCTCCCATGGGTAACAGTGCTCCTCAAGTGTTGCAGTGTGGGTCCCTCTTACACCGGGTGCAGTCCTTCAAGGACAGGCTGCCTCAGCATGGGAACAGGGCCCCTCTCTGCATGGGGCTCCTCCATGGGCTGCAGGTGGATCTCTGCATCCCAATGGATCCCCTGCAGAGACACAGCTGCCTCAGCATGGCCATCACCACTGGCTGTAGAGGAATCCCAGCTCCAGTGGCTGGAGCACCTCCTCCCTCTCCTTCTCCACTGCCCTTGGTGTCAGCAGAGCTGCTCTCACATGTTCTCACCCCACTCTTCTCTGGCCACAGTTACATCCCTGCAATAAGGACTTGTTTTTCTTTTTCTTAAATTTGTTATCACAGAGGCATTACCACCATTCTTGACTGTCCCAGCCTTGGCCAGTGGCACATCCATCTTTGGAGCTGCCAGGGATTGGCTCTCGGGAACATGGTGGAAGCTTCCAGCAGCTTCTCACAGAAGCCACCCCGTGCCCCCCCACTACCAAAAGCAGGCCATACAAACCCAAAACAAAGTGATACACACATAAGTGCAGGCCTGAAAAAGTCATACCTCTACTCTTCTCAATAGCTGAGAAATTGTTAGCAATAGTCTCCCTTTTTATATGCAAAATATTAAAATGTACTGGAAAAAAAATACTAAAAACACTACTATGAATCAAACATTTCCCCTGAAAGTTAAGGCTGTGTAAATATGAGAAACAGGAAAACAAAAAAAATGTTATTACCAAGAAAATTGTATTTTTTGAGATCTGGTTTTATGTCAGATTAAGACAAAATTTTAGAAAATCTTCTACAACAGTAGACTGATGTTTACAGGCCTCAAACAGGTCTGAAAAGTTTCTCATGAACACCCATTGTCTCATCTCACCCCCATGAATCAAAACTTTTTAACTTTAATATTGTACAGATTGTTGTCTTTGTAAGTTTTTCAACAGGAAGTTATTAGACTTGTAATAAGAATCCAGTCATTTTGATGCATTTTGATTTCTATAATTTTCCTTTTCAAACTGAAAACTGCATTTCTTTCCATTACACTTGATGGCTTAAAAAATAGCACCATTTGGAAATGCATTAGGAGACTATTCCTTCTTCTTGTTAAAGGGGGAAAAACCCCTCCAAGCGTTGTAATCTTTATTCTGCAATTTTAAAAATATTTCACAACAGTGGTCACAACAAAATGTGCTGCTGACAGTGAAATAACAAAGAATGCCAGTGAACATTCTGACAGCTCAAATGTGAGGCTTGCCTGCTTCTTGAGGACTTATCCATGGAAGTATCAGAGATATGTAAGGATTAGCCAGGGGATGATGTGCACCACTTGAGGAATTAAAAGAAAGATAAGACTGTCTGCAGTTTTCATGCACATGGGCCCCAAAGCCATGAAATCACCAGTGGAAATGTGCCAAAACCCCAAGGAACTTGGGGTCCAAACTTTGCAACCGAGGATTACAACTAGTTTCACTTGCACTCCAAACATGAATATATAACTTGTTCTGACTTATTATTCACTACAGGTTAATTATATATTCCTCAGAAACACTGAAATATGGACTGCTGAAACTAATTCAAAAGAAAACCTTGGAGTCTTGCTCACTAGTAAATAATTGGGTGGAACTGAAATGAATCAGCAAACAGAAGTACTTGATGATTTTACTTTGGGCTAATCTTAGTTTGGTTTCCTGGAACCTTTTCTACTTTTCAAAGTTTTACACTCTCCACCTTTTCAAGATTGTAGGTGAACCTTCAGCATGGACTGAAATTCTGATGAGTATGGACTTTATGAAGAAAAAAAACACAATAGGAAAATACACTAACTGTGCACCCATGTTACAAAAAGTGATGACAGATGAATATCAGAACATGAAAAATGGTACCATAAAGAATCTAGCACTGCTTTTCAACAACATATTTATCACTGGACCAGGGAGGAAGTATTGTTCAGACTTTTGACTATTTTGTGGGAGGAGAGGAGGAGAAAAAATAGTGAAATATAAACATGTGAAGGTTAAGAGAAGCTTCTTATGTAGCACATGACAAAACATGAATTACTAGAAGAGGAAAATCTGTCTCAGTCACAGAAATTAATTTTTGTCTTATGGACTGAGACATCGTCTCCTTGTACCGGCTTTGTGCCTCTATTTGCATCTTGTAATGATACCTAGCTCCAGAAGAATGCAGAATTTTTTCACCTGAAACCTGCAGTCACACAATGAGATAACTGCAAGAAGTGCCTGTTGAAGTCAATGGAAGATGCACAGATATAAATCAGGGCAGAGTATGGGCCCTTACAAACCAGATCCCCCTGGATCTGTTCTACTCCTCTGCTGTCTCCCAGTGACACTGCACACTCACATGCACAGTTTTCTTCATACCCTGAAGGCCTCAGGGCCATGTTAAAGCATTCAGGGAAGGGACTTAAACATGTATAAGGCTTTCTTCTGCTTCACACTTTCATGCTGATGGAAAAAAATGAATGCATGATGGAGTGGAGCTTGACAACATCCCAGCTCATGGGCAGCGCTGTACTCAAGTACAAAGCCAGAGATGTACCAACAGCCTGAGGCCCTCCTACACAACTGAACACCCTTAATTTAATCTCAATGTTAATGGTACCTCTGTACATAGTTAAGAATCACAGAACAGTGAAGAACACATTTTAGCAGCTGTGATCTCTCAAACATGCAAATTATTACCTTAGTTAAATAAATCATTATTCCATTGTGCTGAGCTTCTATGGTTATTCAAACAATGGACTCTTTCTGAATGCTTATCTGAAACCCATCCGACCAAAACATCTTTTAGTCTAACTCCACTGAGGCCAGAACATAAAGACATAAATTAATTCTGCTCATTATTTTCTTATGTCATTGTGACAAGCAGACAAACAGCTAAACTCCAAAAGAGGTCCACAGAGAACTCGAAAGTACCAAGACCTTCAAACACAATACTGCTAACTACAGATGCTTAATAACACTGTCAGGATTTATGAAAAATGAACCAAATATTGGAAAATAAGTAGTCAAGTAGTCACATGAAACAGCAGATCATACCAAACAGCACATACCAAGAGCTAGACATATGCTGTAGCCTTTGAATAATTTAGCAGGATGTTCTGCTTGGCCCTGTCACCTACCCTTCTCCCTTTCTAGGCAGCTTTCCCTAGAAAAGGGAGAAACTCCTTTGAGCCCAGGAGATTTGATTTTATTTACCTTAACAGAGTATAGAACTGTCCCAAAATGAACACAGTCACTGTGTTCACTGATTTCAAATATGCTTTACCCATACAATGTGATACATAAGTGCATTATTAGAACTTAGTATCAGAATTAAATTCAGTTTTACTCCTTTTTAAGGAGTTTTACTCCCTTTTACTCCCTTGCCTAAATAATCCAGAAGTTAGCTACTGTCCTTCATCTTCACCATATGTTTCATCTTCACCATATGTGCAAGGTACAAGAAAAAGAATTTGTCCATAAGCATTTGAATTAACATTATCTATATATTTACAGATAGTTTTGCATGTAAGATATACAGTGCTATATGAGATAATTTATTTATCTGCACTTTTAAGGCTATAGCCTGTTTTACAGTGCTATATGAGATAATTTATTTATCTGCACTTTTAAGGCTATAGCCTGTTTCTCTTGTTGGCTGCTACACATAATGTGCCAAAATGCAGGAAAATAATTTATTAAATAATTATATTATTTATTATAATTTATTACATAATAATTTATTATGTAATCATT